ATGAAGGCAGGGTGCAAGCAGGAAAAAGATAACGTAATGAGACGAGGCATCAGCTCGGCGTATTAAAAAATCTTAAGTAAAATTTAAGTGGACGTTGAAAATGTGATTATTGCAAAAAATTTAAACGGTATTAAGTGATTTTCTACTTTTTGCACTTTGGAGAATTTTTATTATGCGGAAAAAAGTGAAAATAAAGTTTTAAAGTTATCTATTCACGTCCGCCGGATATAAAATAGACGAAACAGATGTCTTCAGTTTTTGCGCATTGTGCTGGTTATCCTTGATGCCCTTAAACTCCGACAGTCTTCCAGATCCTTTAGATTACTCAAGCGCTGCATCGTTTATCACACCTGCAGCATATTTCGCGCATTTACATGAAAACTCTACCAAAACCTAAAGCGTCAAGATCGTAAACACTGAAAACAGGGTTACCAAATGTTAAATATAATAATTTTAGTTATTTTTATGTAAATATTGTACCTGTATAAATTGCAGATTTATTTATGTGAGTTTAATACTTGAAAATTTAATATTTATTTGTTTATTTGTGTTTGGCGGTTGGTAACCCTACGGATATGATGTGACGTGATGTGTTTCCATGGTCTTCCCGTATCACCTACGGCTGTATACGTTCGCCGGGAATATCTTGTGTTTTCTGGAGGAAAAACTCCGTAACTTCCGCAAACAAGTTGAAAACTTTGCCGATGGCGCAAATTCTCGACCAGAGTCACGTTCGCGTTTTATTTCCGTGGGACGCATGCGGCGATTCTTGCCTCTGCGACGGCGACGCTTATTTGCAAATGTTCAGAGTTGTTACTTTACATTTTTCTCGGGGCGTGCGAGTATTTCGCGCGGTTTTGAACTCTCAACTTGAAAATAGTACAAAAAGCCGGAAACAACAAGCGTAAAAAAAGTTTAGAAACGTGTTTATGTATAAAGACGACTGGATTTGCCATTGCAAGCCGCACCTGGTTGCAAAAACAACAAATCGTTTGTTTTATTGCTTTTTGTTTTGTGTTTTTTGTACTTTTAACTTTTTTTCTATTTAAAGATAAAATAAATTTCGCACAGGCTCAAATACTTGTTCACAAATTAGAACGGCCATTTTCTTCCGTTTTATTCTCTCTGGGGTTAGGTGTGGAGGCGTCGCTGGTGGTGATGTAGTCTAGGTTGAGGTTAGATCGCTGCGAAATGGAAGGCAATTTCCAAAGCACCACGATATTGAATTGTAGCGCGGCGAGTGCTTTGCAATAAAGTTAATTGGAACATCTTTTTCCCGGTACTTTCTTTTTTTGCTTCCTCGCCAGCTATTTTCCCTTGCTGGCTGATTTCTTCCTTTTGCGGTTTACCACAACATCAGAGCAGGCCAGCAACCCAACATTCGCATTATTCACTTCTTCGTACGGCCTCTTTTGTGGCAATTCTTATTTTTTCTTTCATTTAAGGCCTTTTTAAAGAGATTTTTTCTTGTAAATATTTGTTTTGATGTTTTTAACCTTAGTATAAATAATAAATTAATTAAAATACTTTAATATTAATTAAATTCATTAATTTCATGCAAAATAACTTTAGTAACATCCTGTGTGAACTATTTTATTGATGCCAAATACCAGGCTCGATTGCCGAGAGACCTGGAAACGGCAGAGAGCAAAAAAGCGGGAACGCAACCGGAAATAAATGAAACAGGTAATGCCATAAATCGGCGTAAGAGACTGTTATGGGATACATAAAAACCTCGCTCGCGCACGCCGAGAAGAAGCCAGCTCCGTCGAATTGCCACTAAACATTGACAGCTAACGCCAATAGCGTTACGCCATTCCCTAGTCAGCTTCGGAACCGACAGAGATCCAGCCCTAGTTACATAAAAGTAGAGAATAAAACCATGAAACCAGCAAAGCATGTTTTATACATTATACATTATCGTCCGAAAGTACAACCACACACGAGCAAGCAAAGTCAAAGAAATGTTAATTTTATTACGCTATCTATAAACTAATAGCTCACTATATATTCGTAAAAATCGAATTTTAACTATTTTGATTTTTGTTTAGGTATTTCTATTTTTTAGATGGTATTACATTCGGTACAAGTCCTTGCACTACTCCTCGGCGTAAAGGATGCGTAGAATCATAAATTCCATGTGAATTATTTATTCCTTCCTCGCTCTGTGCAGCTTTCAGCCCCGGCGAAGTATACGCGGTTGCTTGGATTCGGGTGTGCTTGCTTGGTTGCCTCGCTTGTCGACGACAGATCCGAGATCCGTCCGCGTTGCTAGGGTTGCGAGTCGACGCTCATTTTTTTCTTCTTCTCTTTTTTCCAACGTTCTCAGCGTCGGCATCGTTGCGAACGTTTCTTCCGCTTCTTCCGTTTACTTTTTGCTTGCATCTGCGAGCTAAATTTGTCGGAGCTTTCTCTGTCTGCCGTTCATTTTCGTGCTACTCCGCGGGTGCATTATGCAACCCACAATGCAATGCAACGCGTGAATGATGGCCGACGGCATGAGGCGTGAGTTGAATGGCCTCGTTTTGTCTCGATGCAAATGACGCAACAACTCACAACAACAACAAACAACAACAACAACAACATATATAACAAATAGCAAGTCTGACGTTGAGGTAGACGGACAGCAGTAACCGGAACATTACATTACTTCATGTACTCGTAGACGGCTTTTAGTGTTATGTGGGTTGCCTACATTCACTATCAATCTATTTCATTTTATTCGAAACACCTTGGGCATTCTTGATGCTTGTTTGCATTGCATTTGCCATTTCTACTCGCCCCAAACACTTAAATTTGCAATGCAGTACTGCCCGGACTAAAAATTCAAATTCAAATTCAAATCCAAATGCATTCAAGAGTAATAAAATAAAAAGGATAGTGTATCGATGCAGAGCAACGCTATACAATCAAACATGAGCAATACCAGTACAGAAGTTACGACTAGGCAACCATATATACACAGAGTTCTCTTACACGCCTCGTTTCTCGATAGCTCTCGTTAGTTCTCACTCGTATTGCCATCGCGCCAGAGTAGTAAATTTTCTATACCGGTGATAAATTTAAGTGACGGCACGTTGCAACGCTTGAGCGTTTGAAAAACGGCCCAGCGACCGGAAGCGTCAAGTTTAAAGCGCGGTCCAAAGGAGCGCGTTGAAACGTTGAATCATTGAAACGTGCAAACGTTGAAATGTAAAGCACAGGGAATAATTTCGAATGTTTCAAAAGCGCATTCAGCATTCACCGTTCGAAGGCGCTTTGAACGACTTCCTCTATGTTGGCATGTTGGTGCGTTGCAGTGGCAAAAACAAATAAAAACGATAATGGCCCTTTTTCCATTTTAAATGTGTAATGTTTTTAGTTTCATAGCAGTAAAGTACCATCGATAAATCAATAGCGGTACACTTTTTTTGTGAATGCATAAAATCTATGAATATGTAAAACTTAGAAAATAGGTTATGTCGAGCACGTACGCAAGGTACGCAAGAAGAAAATAGTTCATCGATGTTATCGCTAGAGGTCGTTTAAGGCGCTTTGTGCTTTTGTGCGTCGTTGGTGCTATTGTGTGCGCGACACGCACGTTTACACTATTTCTTTTTTTTTTCTCTCTCTTCCTCTCGGGGTGGCGTTTTTCCACGCGGAAAGCTTTGTGTCACCTTCTTGTGGTAGTGGGGGCACACACACCCTCCATTTCTATTGAATTCCATTACAGTTGCCAGCGTTTTACGCGCGCACTTTTTCGAGCTGCCGCCATTGAAATGCAAAATGCAAATGTGTGTCACTGGAACTGGATGACTGACGAACGCGAGGACGGGCACGAGGGTGACGTTATTATGTTTAAACCTGAGGTGAGAGTGTGTGGAGGACAATGCAGACAAAGAGGCGAATGTGTAACATGTGCTGGGTTTTCATTCCGCTTCGTACGACACCTTACATCACGCTGTCAAGCGAGAAACATCAGTTCAGCACCGCCATTTAGAATAAAGTGAAAAAGTATGCACTTCTTTGAATTACAATGATGCGGGTGCGTTATTCATTCGAAAACACGATTTAAATTTTATGTTAATAATAATTTTATGTTTTAAATTTATTTTTTTATAATTTAGGACACACTGTAAGTATGTAAATCTTGATCGTTGGAATTTTAGTATTCAGATCAAGATCGGAAGCTCACAAGATCGGAAAACATCGAAAACACCCACTTTTCCGAGTCTCATTGTGCATAACTTTCCAGACATCTGTTGTACACCACTCGTCTCTGTCATCCTGCTGCAAACCCTAAAAGTCAGGTAGTGAATCGCTAAAGGTGACCTCGGTTGGGTGGCGTGGGTTCGACTGCGACGTCAAGTTAAACTAAACTTTCTCATGGCAGAAAATGAAGGATGGGGTGCTTGCTTAAAAGGATCGGTTCAGAGGATGAAACATTGGGTATGAGATATGAGGGATGAAGGGCAAACAACTTGAATTGTAGATTATGTCGAAACATACCCAATGTGCTGATTTTCAAAGTTAAATTTCATTTTTTTTTAAATAATTACACAACAAAACAGAATTTTAAAAAGTTTGGAAGAAATATAGAAAAATGTGTTTCTTTTGTTTGTTTCTGTGACTTTATCTTTCACTTTCCGCATTATTTTTGGCAATTTTCGCTTTCGCCCGCAGCTGGATGCGAGTTGACGAGCGACGCAGAGTTCTGAAACTGCGTGGGTTGGAAACGGGCGGACGAATGAAATATATGTTGATAACTATTTCCAAGCGATGTGGCATCGTCGCGCGTGATAAATCGCCGAAATATGTTTCATAACTATTTTCACTGGAACCAAGCGCCAGAAAGCAATTTTTGCAGCCAGGGCCGACGTAGATGCGCGACAATAACGACGACAAATTCCATCTGAAAGTAAAAGTGATAAATCTACACTGTGACTTGCACAATTGTCACATTTGCAAACTAGTTAAATTAAACTTGAACCCAAATTAAACAATACATTTCTTTGTTTTAGATCTGATGGGTGTCGCTACAAGTCCCGCGAGAGTTCTGGTGACGAGGTGACCTCTCGTGGGCAAAGCGAGCGCACACGGACATTTTCCGAGGAGTGATGACAGCACGAGCACCGACAACCGCGCCCTACGCTGCACATCGAGTCGCACGACATGCCTCGCCTGCGATGCCAGCGCCACCGCATTAACCACCAGGCGCTCTTTTCGCTGCTTTTCCTAACCTTAAAACTGGTCGGCATCGCTCACTGCGGACCGCGTTATAGTTCACGTATAGTCGAGATTCAATCGGGCGCTATTCGAGGTGTAATACTAGAGTTAAACTCGCGTCACCTCGAGCCAGTGGAAGCGTTTCGTGGTGTGCCGTATGCTGCGCCACCTGTGGGCCCACTACGCTACCGACCGCCGCAGGCACCACTTCCGTGGCCAGGCACTCGACTCGCAGACACTTTTGGTGCAGTGTGTCCACAACGCTTTCCTGACGTGAGCAACAGAACATCAGCTTTGCAGTTTATGCCTAAGGGACGTTATCATCACTTGAAGAAACTTACGCCATTGCTAGTGAATCAAAGTGAAGATTGCTTATTTCTAAATATCTACGTACCAGGAAGTGGTAAGTAGTAACAATAATGATTTATACACATAAAACAAAGTGAGGTTAGTTACAGTCAGTTTATAACTGAAGAACGGCGAGTCAGATTTTGATCATTTATGATTTACTATAAACTACGGGGGCAAAGTGGCTGGCATAAGCTAGCAATATAATAAAATCATTTATTTCCCACTGGTAATTTTTGTGCACAAATCGTTTCAATCACAATCTTCTACTTTCGCGATAATCCAGAACAAAGACACATATAGACCTAATTTACAACGGGAGTTTTGCGTCAAACTATTAACACGTCTCTGTTAGGACACTTAATGGCGTCCCCCGCCTGGCAGCCTTGAATCATTGTACATCCTCTGCGCCTTCTCCTGATCTGACACCTGGCAAGATGGCATTTGCTTGACAGGTTCCGGAAACGGATTTGCCAATCGCGAGCTCTTCAACGGCATTGTCAAACTCCTATAGGTTTTCGATGCCGCAAACTGCCTCTGTTGTTGTGTGGTCTGCGGCTGGCTAGCGTTGTTTAGGCGAGTGAGATCAGTGGACGGATTGTAGAATTCCGGCATACGACTGGGTTGTGTCTGCGGACGCAATGCACCGTCATGTAAATTCTGGGGGTCCTTACAAGTTGCTCTATCTTTTGCCATTTGATACGGTTGTGTGGTATTGCACATGCCATTTTGATCGCTTGCTGTGGTGTTAGCATTGGCGCATGCGTTTGGGTTGCTTCCTACAGTAGCTCCCCCTGTGCCGCCAGTGGAACACTGTTGATCGGTTTGTTGTTGTTGTTGCTGTTGTTGTTGTTGATGATTCAGGTTATTTCCACCATGGGGACTATTAGTGCAACTAGGGTTGCCGTGGTTGGCAGAGGAGGACCAACGTATAACGGTTGGTAGGTGCTGGGTGGCTTTCATCGTGGTGACCAGTGTGTTGAAAGGCAGGGGTGCGCGGAATTTTGTAACCAAACTTATAAACATGTTGAACTCGAGCAGAGTGCGCGTTCACCTTCAGATGTGATCGAGATTTGTCGAAAATAGGGGTAAAAAAGGCAGGAAAAATGTCAGTAGAGAATTTTTGAGAATCTAAATAACAATGATTGTGTTGGTAAAAATCTGGTTGCCATACCAACAAATCACAACACACTAAGATATAAAATGATATTTAAAATACGAACAAATGATAATTTCGAGACGTAATTGATGTGCTGTGCTCTTTTTTTGGCGGGTTGAAACTAAGCGAATATTCATTTATTCCAGAATCCATTTTCTTCCTCGCTTCACCCCTTTTTTGACGTCGGGGTAAAATTAAATTTTTGCTAATCGCTTCGTTTTCGTCCCTGGAAACGGCGTGGAGTAATATATGGTTGTTGTTGCACTCATGCTCGCTTTGCCCTCGCCAAAGCGGGCGTCGGATGCTTTTAGCGGTTTTTCTTTTTGGCTTTTTTAATCTTTTGGGTTTTTGCGTGTGAGCGCGCCCCGTACATTTGGCAAAACGCCCGCAATTTAGCGTCGAGCACAAATCCACAACTCTTCAACGCCGGAACGCTCCAATCCGACAATACCGCGAATCTTTCGAAAGCGGAAACTTTTCATTGGTGCATCACGCATTGAAGAGCTGTATGTTGCAATTCTTCAAATTGCGACTACAAAAATGGCAACGCGCGCTGAGTACTCGAAGGTATTTTAATAAAGGTGCAATTTGGCAAGCGCATTTAGCTCCGCCCGCTATTTTATCACTCGTATGAGATGTTATTACGTTTCGCTAGCGTCACACCTCGCGGCCACAAAAAACGACGAGCACATCAGGTGCTTTATGCATGTCGTTACATAATGGCCAATTTCATTAGCGCACGATTTGCCTCTCGCTCCGCTCCGGCGCGCAGTAATTACAAATTACATGCGAGGCAATAAGTCGCCAAGTTCAGCAAGTTTAGCAATAGAAAATGTAAAATGGAAAATTCCCACAAAGCGATTAAGAAGTCTTTTAACCACCGCCACAAAAAAGTACTAATGGCGACCTCAAATTGCCTTATAAATCATTTTTTACTCGCTTTACTTTCTTGCTGCTCGTTTTGCTACCGTTCGGCGTGATAAGAACGCGCTCGTTATTGCATATCGACTTTATAACGATCCTCAAGTGCTCTCTTGCTAGGCCCAAAGTAGAAAAAAGTACATATTATGTTGTTTTTAAATAAATATTTAATGACGTAATTTACATTATGTAATATTCTAACAGGGATATTGTTGGCTGTCATGAAACACTTATAATGTTCGCACATGATGCCAATGTGATAATGAACTCGGCTACAAAATGGCTGCCAACGTAATGCTAGAAAATTAATAGTGTTTGAGGTAAGCGCGGGGAGTAATAAAGATAAAACATCCAGTTTTACTATTTACATGTTATTAAATAATAATTGTTAATAACTAGTTTTCCCGCAACTTTGTCGCGATAAATTTTAATAAAAAGTTGTTTTAATTTTACTCAGTCAAATTATATAATTATTCCAATGATTGAGTTTTCATATCAACTTTTATCTCTTATTTTACACCCTACAAGGTGTATTCTTGCAATAAGAATTAGCCTATTACCTTCTCCTCTATATCTCTATAGAAATATGTAGCAAAATTAATTGATTAAAGATTTGCATTTATAATAATACTTAAGGTATTAAAAACATGTATATTTGGTAGCATACTTTAAAATAATATTCATAACATCAAATTACCGTTTTACTACTTAATGTTTTTTTCGTGTCTTTCCAAAGACTTTAAAAATAAATTTTCATATAAATTGCATTTCGGCCCTCCTTGAAATGAATTTTTATTGCCCACCAACTGGTCGTGGCTAGTTGCAAAGATTGTGAGATATGAACGCGCACAATGTGCGCATTCCGTCAGTTTCATGAAGCGTAGCATACAGCCGTCAGCATTCCGAATGAAATTACTTTAATAAATAATAACAACGATCTCATCTGCCTGCGTAATATCATGTTGTCATACCAAGTATTTAAAATGCTGAATGTATAATTTGATTTCAACTCCGCCAAACATTTGACTTTCTTTCCCGACGCTGAAAGTTCAATTGTGTTTTGAACGCTCGGTGGCGAATCTAAATGTACAAGATGCAAATGTGCAGCATCCGGAGGATTGTTAAATGAAAATGCAAAAACTGGAAAGTTGAGAAGCGTCCGGAGGCAAAATACAAGTAGAATGCGCTGATGCAAACATTTGTAAAGACGCATAATGTGGAATGTACAAAGTTTATTCGTTTTGATTCTTTAATAGTAAATTTGCTATAAGCACTCATATAATTATATATGCATTATTATATAAAAGGCTATAAACCATAAAAGCTTAATGGAAAGCTTTACAACTAAACAACTAAGTAGGCAAACATTTTTATGTATGCATGTTTGCCTATCAAACTAAAGTTATAACCTAACTAAAACACTATTAATGTGTTCAAGCTTTACTATCGTTTATAATCCTTTAAAGTCCTTGGAAACTTGCTTCTTTGCGTATTACAACACTTATGATGCTGTAGCAAGCACGTATCTCGTTTGGAAATTATTCCGCAAACCACAGAACCGCATTTCTCCCCATCTCTTTCTATCAGGTGAATATTCCACCCACCTGTAACAACAAGTTTCGATCCATCTTTACTAGTTCCAACTAGAGACTCGAGTGTCCTGTTGTCATTTGTGAAACTTCCGCTCTCTGTGCTTTTACGAGCCGTCGTTGAGTTTGCGTATATCTCATTGGAGAGTAATGAACCAATACCCAATTGGACTGTTTACATACATCACACGGTCGCACGGTTGCATCCTGACGCCCGCCACATTATAATTATATCCTGTTATCTGTTTGGGATTCTCTAGCAAACCGACCGCGAACGTAGGAGACAGGAAGTTTCATTATACGCAAAACATGCCAAAGCCATCGCTGATTTATGGCCGACGCGTTAAATTCCGACTTTACTGCTAGCGCCATCTATGAGTAACTAGCGCATAACCGCTAGGCTATAATGTCACCGATCGTAAATTTATCAAATCTTGTTTCATTGGTTTCGGGGGAGGGCAATTTGGCGACTGGTAACAAGAACATCGAGGTGGGTAACGAGTTGAGGACTTAATTGAGTGACGTTTCAGACCAGATAGCTGTGTCGCGCAACACCGTAAAAGGCGTCACTGGACGATTACATTTCGGAAGGCAGCCGGTTGCACAAGCCCACTTGTACGACGAAACGAATCTCGTTACGTTTAACGTTAAGGTCGTCGGTTTGGCAGATGCCACACTGCTTTGGCGAACGGGCGAGCTAATGGCGTCGAAGCGGTTTCGGTTTGGTTCGGACGTTCCGGCGGTCGTCCTTAATGTGCACCATCGAAATTCTTGCGCAATTGCATCAACCTTTCACTTGCAACTGGATTTAACACGATAAATGCTTGTTTCTAAGATTATTTTTTACTTTTTCTGATAAAAAAAATAAAATTATCTTTAGATGTGAAATTAATAAGGACAAAAAAGTGGCACACATTTCCGGCATATTTTTTGCTGGCTGCGTCTTGGTCGTCGTCGAATATGCAAATTTGATTTTCGATGTTCTCCAGCACATCCGGCCCGTGCTGGAAGCTTCCGGTATATTACGAACGGTATCTTCACATTCTCCACCGCCCCCCCGGAACTCTTGCAATGGTTTTTCGTCGTCGCGCACCGCAGCTTGCGTTTTTCCACATTTTTCCTGTTTGCATGCGCGCGTGAGGTTTCGAGTGCTGAATGAAAAACGCGGACAAGTCGGAAAGCTTTGATCCTGTCGCAAGGACGCTCCGAGGACGCTTGCGTATGCATGTATGCAAACGTGATGCGATTGCGGAATCATCCGCTCATGAAAGTTATGCAACCAGACGGGCGAGTATAGTGAGAAGAAGAAATCGAGCTGTTTTTTGAGCAGGATGTTCAATATCATCATTGATATTTATAAAAAGGAGTCAAACATGTCTAAATAAACTATTTTCTATATTAATTTTGTTGGATTTTGACGGTTTTGAAATAAATGTTAGTAAAAAACTAAAAATAACGGAAAAACGGTGAAACTGCACGAGATATCTTTGCCGCATGCGTTTGAGGGGAGAAAAGGGAGCAAAAAGCGTAAAAATCCGTGGCTTTGATAAAAATAAGTCGGCGTTAACATTGGCGCGGCATAAAACCAGGAAATCACGTTTCGCCACCGATGTGCCGGCAGTGTCGGGCATTCACCGATATTTGCCCAGATTTGCCAGAGGATTTCAATGGGAATCAGTTGCCGTGATACCGTGACGCCATCCAAACGTGTCATGTATTAACTTACACATAACTGAAATCTAAACCAGCGAAAAAGGCCAACATAGATAATATTTATACGAAAATTTTAAATTTTAATATAAATTTACATAAATTTGAAACAATTTAGTCTAATTTTAATTAATTTTGACTTAAATTACATGATTCAAGTAGATTTAGTAGCTTTTTGCATGTTCCATTAGTTTTGGCATCATTGTTGTACTTGTTTTGCACGCCGGTAGCAACACAAATAATAATAAATAAACCCAACGTAAGAAGTATTTTACACTGTGGACTCGTTTCGTGCGCGCAACAACGATAAAAAGCACTTTGTACAACTAGATATTCACGTTTGGATGTGAAATAAGAAAAAAAAACAAAGCAGCGCATAAAAAGCGGACAAAACAAAATGTCCGCCAGTGTTTCGTTTCGTCGGATTGGCGGATTGTGGATTTCGGTACGCGTGTGTGAAGTCGGTGTATAAGCACGCACTAGATTTATGCCTCTTTTCGTGCGTTTTTTGTTGTTTATAGCCGTCCACCTCGACCGAATCGCCCACACCTTCGTTAGTCGCTGTTTTCGTATGCGAATCGACGCCGAACGCGGAATTACGATTTCGGGGATTGCGGACAAAAGCCGCGCCATGCTTTTTTTATTGTTATTGGTCGATTGGGGTAAAAATTTGCATTTTTGCATTAATTTACAACCGCCGAATCTGACGCCAGAGAATTTCAGCACTCAAAAAGTTAAAAAATACTGTTTGCATCACAATAAATCTCAGGATTTATAATATTGGCAGTGTGAAGTATGTTGGGTTGCGTTTAGTGGTCGAAACGTGACTAAACATATGAAATTAAACCGGCCATGTTTGTTTTGGGACAAAATCCTAAAACCACAATGCGATTTTACGTTATAAAACACCAACAAAGTTGTTTGTTGCTAAATATACGTATCAATACTTTGGCGCGCTAATACCAAACACAATTAATTAATGTTTAAATATTTTTTAAGTGCTCACAGCCACCAATGCAGATATATAAATTGCAATTAACTATTATCCAATAGCGATGTTATGGCAGCCATGTTGACTGCGTGTTTGTCGAAATGCGAATTTAATTAATTACAATTAATTAGATTTTATGTGCGGGCATTATTTGCGTGCGCACTGGGCGACGCAATAAATTCGCAAAGATAGTAGTGGGACGATGTGTTGACCGTTCGTCGCGCGGACGCGCGCGCAATAATAAATTTAATGGCGTCGACGTGTATACTCGCAGGATGCAGGCGAGAGGATGCATCACGCATTAACGAAAAGGACAATAAACAGCAAACAGGAAAGTAAATTTAATTACTACAGGCTACACACGCGCAGCGACGAGAAATTATTCAACTTGCGTTTGCAAGTTTGTGAGTTTGTGATACATGATGCAAGGTTATGTCCGTACACCGAATTTAACGCCAACAATGCATTGTTTCATAGTTTCAAAGTTTAATAATCCTTAGATAAATTATTTACATCACATATTTTGATACATGTTTTTACCCGCAATTTGGTTACCGTAGTTTTTAGTAAAAATGAAATTAATTTATAATTTCTTGTTCAAGACCTTATTAATGGACTTTAGCGCCATCTAGGATTAAATTATTTAACAAAAACTGTATTTCAATCTCGGTACCAACTTTCTTCCTTTATTTAACATCCTTTGAGTCATAATTTTAGACCTTTTAATAGTTATTCTCCTATTTGAAGCGGAAACGAATTCAATAAATAATAGACCATGAAAATCTGTCCATCAGTTCGTGAATTATAAAAGTTGTAACTAATCCGATTTTATTTAATATATACCAATACATAAAATATGATCAAATATTTTTAAAATAAAAACTTTCTGGTGTGTAAACCACCATTTTGATTTTAATCGTGAATCAACGCTGAAAATTTACATCACTTCCACATATTGCTGGTATTGAATTGATGTTATATCCAGATTACAATCGCAATCGTCCTTTAATCATTTTTGTTTTGTATTTTATCTGTCAAATGAATCCACACGAAAACCACGCAATTTCTACGTGTGTATTACATTGTATCCAAGATACATCCATCTCGTCCGTGCGATGTGAATAATGTGAATTTGATTTCTCCGGCTTTAGCTGCGGATTCGACTTCGGTTTTGCAGTAAACAAAAAAAAAACGCGCTCGGCTTTTTAAAATGATCGATGATCATCTCTCTCGCTCGCGCGTGTGGGATATTTTTATCGCGTCGATTGGCGAATTACTCGAATGGAAGGGTGTCACTTCGATCAATCAACTTCGTCCCGGACTCACGCGTCCGAAATATCACCGAAAAACGTGCTAAATGAGGGAAAACAAGAACCAATTTGCGTACGAGTTTCGAGAATCAATTTTTCAACTCGCAAACGATACAAAAACTCCCAAACAGCTAAAAAAAAATTGAAAAAATTTAAATTTAAATTATGTAAAAGTTAGGTTAAGTTATTTCATTAAGTATATAAAACTTTGTCGATATGAAAATTAGCGTGGATAAAAAATATCGGAAATTTTTAATTAAAGCTAATGAAAGTCAAACAAAAAATCTAAATGCCTTTAATTTTCATTAATTAAACATTAATTTGTAAACTCTGGCCCAAATTACGACAGCACTAACTATCCTATTCTCTCTGCGCTTCCGGTTCGGGCATTCTTCGCGAACGAAAGAAGTTTTATTTGTTTACTGTAAAACTTTTCAGCTGTTTCGGCAAAACAAATGAAAATAAGTGAGGGCAATGGAGTAATGAGTAGATAAGTTTACAATGTCCTTCACAACAAAATTCCATTCAGTCGAGAAAAAAAAAAACGAAAAAAAAAGTTTAAGTTTTGTTAAAAGCTTGCATTCATTAGTGTTAGAGTTAGGTCGATTGAAAGTGCCGAAGACTGAATCCCAAGGATGCCAAAGGATGCATAAGAGCGAAAATGGAAGGGAAAACGACGCTTTGGCGGGGCGATAAAGATAAGGAAATAAGTTAACCCAGGGGAAGTAAGCGATGCGATTTGCGCGCCGGTCGCCAGAAAACGCGAAAGTTTTTAATCTAATTTAAGTTTGCAGTCTTCAGGTTTGAAACAAAATCAAAAAAGAATCGACAGAAAAATAAAAGATTCATCGATAAGAAACGAAGAAATAAATGGCAGTAATTTTAATTTAATATTCATATTGGTAGTGACATCTGTCGGCAAATTTTTAAATTAAAAATATACAACAAAACAACACAGCAGTGGAACAAAACTTAAATTGTAGTTAAAATTAATCAAGGACATATGTAACTGTGTTCTTGAAAACAGGATTATCTTCATTAGCATATTCATTTGAATTCAAACGATGAAAACCAAAGTTTGCAGTTGAAGGACGCAAGACACAAGATGTAAAGTCCACCCGCTGCTAACAACAACCCGAAAATTAATTCCGCCTATGAAGTTAGCCCGACCCTTTGTTCCACCCAGACGATTTCTTCTGCCCCACTATTCTAATCTTAAAGTCCTTGCGTCGGACCGCCAGGCCTCTAAGGAACCCTAAGAGGACATGATACGAGGACGTCCCACAGCGTCCAGTCAAGTTGCTAACTATTATTAGCCTGTGGGTCATTATCCTTAAGATTTCCACTCTACACAATTTGCTTTCAGTATATTCCACATATATAATGTTATTTATACGTGTGTATGTTTGGTTGCAGGCAATCGAGGCGTGGAGGCCCCCTACGCGGTGATAGCGTTCGTTCACGGCGAGAGTTTTGAGTGGGGCTCTGGAAACCCTTACGACGGGAGCGTCTTGGCCTCCTACGGGCACGTCATCGTTGTGACGCTTAATTTTCGCCTTGGTGTGCTGGGTAAGTTACTTAAACTTAAATCTAAATAAATACTGTTGCGCCATCTATCAGAAACTTGAGTTTACCTCGCAGCGTACGCTTTGTAATAGGCTTTGTCTGGAGAAACGCAAAGATAGGTTAAGTAACTTAGAAAGTAACTACTTTGTGCAACAATAGAGAGCGCTAATTGTATTCAACGCTGTTAAATACTGCTACTAACCAGATGAAAAGTTTAAAGTTAAAGTTGCGTCGAGTTAGGTTAAGTTGCAAGTGCAAGAACAACATAGAGTAAAATTTATGTTTTAAGTCGAGTTTGACGCTAATGCGAGATGATATCCAAACAAGTTTGATGAAATTAATCTACTTTACACATTGTTAGCTGTCGATAAACAGCACATATCGTTTTATTGTATTTTTTTTTTAATACAGTGCACTCATTCTCCATGCTAATATTTAGTTGCTTTCTGGCTAGTCTGCAATTCAAATTACTTACAAATTGCTGCAGTTAGTTAGCTGCCGTTTTTGCATTTTATTTTTGGTCCTGCTTTTTACATTTTTGCATTTCCGAAATGTTGTGCGCATAAAAGAGGAAAGTCCAAAAGACCAACACACCAAAAGCGTGTAAGAACAAATAGAAACAAAAAAGCATTGCTCACTGCTCGCGTACCCGCGTGGTAACTTGGAAATACGCAAAATGAACGCGCAAAAAAAACGCCGAACCAAATGGCACAAAAAGCGTCGAAAGGCAATTAACTCCACCGGCCTCATCCATAGGCACGTCTGACCGGATCGTGAGCATTTTAAAACGAAACGAACTCTTTGTGAATTCAAACCAAACAGGCGTGGCGTGCAATGAGGGGGGTAGGCAACCAAACGATCACTAAGGCTCAAATTCACTAGCGAATAGCTCCGCAAACTCCATGTTGAAAGTTAAACAGAGAATTCTTTTAATTTTCACACAAAAAACGCAATAAATGTTAGGATTAATTAAAGTTTAAAGCTATTCAAAACGTTTTTATATTCAATCCAAAGTTAGAATTCAAATTAAAACCAAAATTTAATGGCACAATTATGAATGATATAGAATTATCAGTAATTTTACTTAATTGTATACAATTAGTCGTGTCCCACAATTTCGAGGACACAGTAATTAAATAATTTCGCAAATTGTTCATCTCTGCTTCATTTCATAAAGGTACAAATATTAAATATAGAAATAAGGACAAAGATATTCGCTGTGAGAGAAACAAAGATGGTGTAGGCAGTTTGCGAATTGGGTTGAATCCAATTTTCGGCGATAACTGGTGGGTCTTTTAATTGCCGTCGTGCGCAATTAGAAAAATGACGAGATATTTCACTAACCGGGTCACAAGCCCGAAATGCGAATGCAGGAGAGAAGGAAACCGAAAGAACTCGAGCAGCCAGTGGAAGAGGTGGAGAAGTGTCGCTGGTAAGTCGGATTAAACCCAAAGGAAACGAATTAAGAAGACGAAAGGAGCTAAAAGGCCGAAAAAGAGTTTAGGGCGTTAATCCGCCATCAAAAGAAAGCACGACTATAAAAGTTATACGAGTACGCAAAAGTGTAAGGGGTGTAAGGAGTTTAGCGTCATCATCATCATCATCATCGTCATCCTAGCGCAGCGTCAACTATCAGTTCATTAAGCGCGCGTGTTCAATTAGTTAAGAATTATGTGCTATTAGCAGTTTAATTAACATTTAGATAAGTTAAAGTATGTCAATGCAGTTACAGTTATAAATCCAATTTGATTTTATAATCCTAAGATTAGAAAAACAGTCTGCAATAAATTTTATTCCGGTCATATTTTATTTCCATCGCAAGTTTGGCACCTTTTTTTAGTTATTTGTGCTGTGACCAGCAGGCCAGCGTCTTGCACGAGCAAACATTAGGCGGATGCACGAGTGCAGAATGCCATCTCTTCACATACGTGCATTCCGTTCTGGAAACTCTAGAGTGTCTAGAGTTTTCGGGGTCTTGAATTTTCGACTCGCATTCCACCTATTTCAGACGGTCTCGACTTGAGTTAGCTTCTCGCCGAGTTCTTTTTTGTTTTTCATTGTGCTTGGGTTTTAAAATAGAGAGGATGAAAGCACGATGTGTGAATTCGCTCAGCACTACATTTTCGAAAGAGGACACACTCAGAATAGCGAATATTTTAAATTTCAGGAAAATAATTATGTTTTAAAACATTTAAAAAAATATTTTATTCATTACTTTGGTCGTAATTGAATATAGTTTTTTGGGTAGTTTTAATTATTAGGAAACAAAATTAATGAAATCTTTATTTTGTTTATTTTTATCTAAATGTCTGCTGCTATAAATATTCCTAATTATATAGCAAATTGTAAAAATCCCTTTGAAGTTTTTTTTCTCCGGCAGAGTATTCGAGAATGTTTTGTATGCAAGTCCCGCACAGGAAGTTGTGCGACGAAAGCGCGAATAATTAACGACTTTCCGCGCGCTGCGCGAAATTAAGACAAATAATAAATCTAATCGTGAACAAGTTTTAATTAACTAACTATCATTCGTTCCACGAACGAATCCAGGCGTCTTACTTCCTCTTGGCTTTCTCTTCATACAGTTTCGCCAAAACGAGCCGAGAAACTTAACTAGCGCGCGAAAGAGTTAACGAGACTTTTCGCAAAGCAAAACTTTATGGAAAAAGTACCGGCGCAAAAAATCGACAACAACAAGCACCGGAAAAAATGTTTAAGAGAGTCGAGAGAAAACGGAACCAGCCGGAAGTAAGACTACGGAAAATACACAGACACAAAACATTTTCAGTCCTCAATCCTCAAAAGACGATAATGCAAATTTAGACTTAAAAAAATCATAAAAACCTTAATGAACAAACAAACAGAAACACTGAGAGTAGTAAAGAACATTTAAAAAATAATGAAGGGTGGATTATAACCGGATGTCGTTCCGTAGTTATGCAAAGTTGAGTAATAAGTAATGCGAAATTTGTGTGAATCGTCGTTAAAACAGCAAAAGCTGAAAAATTATAAAGTTGTTAAAAGTAACGACAAAATAAATACGGCAAACAAAGCAATACGTCTAGCAACTGTTTCTGTTTGCGTAACCGGAAGATAAATGAGTGGAATTATGATTAATCTCAATTTATGTAACAAACTTTTCAGCCTGACAAGGAATTAGAATCACAGAAATAGCATTGCGAGAGTAAATAAAATAATCAAATAAATATAGTAGGCCCGTGACGGCCAGACTTTCGTCATTTTAGGAAACATGAAAATGTTTCTATGTGTGTACCCAACACACATACATGTCACATATGGGGTAGTGTAGTAAGATGAGGTAGTTTATGATAAAGAAGTAGATTCATTCACATATTCTTAACATTTATTGTTTTATAAATTATAAATTTATGCCTAACATTTCCAGCGCGAAATGAGATAAAGTGAACGTGTGTTGATAAAATCCGCTGCGATGGTCAATGTTTACAAAATATTGCAACAACGATATGATCGCGGGAATATTTTTAGTGATAACGGACATTCTAGCGACATCTCGTAAAGATTTTAAGAGATCAGTTTGAAATCGTCTGCTAATGTTATTGATTCGGGCATTTGATATGTGATCGTTCATAGAATTGAATGGCGAAGTAACCGTGTACCTGTAACCGCTCGCAAGGACACCGACTTGAATCCAAGCCCCTAACCCTTCCAAAAGTGCCCTAGAAAGCACGTCAAAGGTAGCCATTTTTGCCCCAAAAATTTCATTATAGGGTCGAACTTACTTTCTTAAAATATTTTCAGTCGAACAACAGAGTCGGACTTTTTTCTTTAATTTTTCCCGCTTAAGCGTTGAGATTAAATTGCGATTATCCGAGAACTATAAGGGCTACAGAAGAAAGGACTTCATATTCTTGATCCTTAAAAAACTCTCTACAAGATAGCACCTTTCTTAAAAAACGAATAAAAATGCATAAAAAATTTAACGAAAAGATTTTGTTATAAAAAGGCAAAAGATTTCTCTTTTTATGTTCGAAATTAAAAGTTGGAATTTTTAAATTCTGTTTTCGGATTCGGATAATTAATTTAGTGCTATATCGATTATTTTAGTAACTTTTTTGGCCAGCATTTACCGTTTAGGCCCATTTGCAATTTTAATTTAAAAAATGTATGTACCTAATTTGAATGGCGACAAAACCAGACTTGTTTAAGGTTATTATTATCAAAAAGCTTTATTTTAGAACAAAATTTTATTAAGATAAAATATGTAGAATCACATGTTCTTCCATATTTGGTAATAAAAAGTGGTAATTTCCGATTTTAATTTTTTGCTTAGGAAAACGACTAAACCAGTTTTTCGCACTTATCTTGAAAATCATTAGAGATAAAGAAAAACGGGTTTCATATTCGTATGGAGAATTAAATTTTACATTATATAACATGTTAAAATTTACAGTTATAAACACTTATGTAATAATTAAAAATGGTCAATAACGTAAAAACTAATTAAGATAGCGTAATCAAATCTGGATTAATGGATTCCTGTCATGGTTTTTCATTTGTTTGGAAAGTTTGGGGAAAATTGGAGAGGTAGTTTTATTTGATCAGTTTTAAATTTACCACCTATTTTCCGAAATAATGATGTTATCGGAAAACTGACTTGATAGCTTTCATCCCCTTTGAAAATTCAACCGATTAGCGTTTTCCATTTTCTTCTAGCTTAAAAAAAATTTTTTTTAGTCCAAAAAGAGTCAAGTGTAACCTCTTGATAATTTTGAGACGTCTTTTGTCAACTATGGAAAATGGAAACACTAAATCTGCCATTTTATAGATCCATATCACGGTAAAATCGCAGCGGAAATTTTTTAGGCACATGTTCCTATATTTCAAATTTTTTAAATGTTACCTTAACTATAATTTGATGCTGAATATAAGGATGTTTTTGATTTTTGTTTATCTATATTAGTTCCTGAGATAATTGATTCTTAAATCTCGATGGGAGTGCACATTTCACTGAATGAAATTTACTG